TTTTTTATTTTCTCCTCCGTCAAGATTTTTTGGCACAACTGTTTGCTAAGTAAGAAAACAAAATTTTATTTTTATTTTTGTTCCGCCCTCCTCCGATGAATAAAAAAAGTCTCGCCTTAGAAAGTAAAAAATTATTGAAATAGTAAATCAGTTAAATTATTTTTATTAAATGTTCAAGCGTATAGCGTATTTTTAGTGTCTATGCAGCAAATTCAGGAACTTATTATTCATACGTCAAAACATTTCTTCTGATGTAACCTATGTAAACTATGTAATTGGATGGTAGGCAACGTTTACTTCTAAAAATACAGTTGTTCTGTTAACTACACCACATGGCATTTTTGAACAAGATTAACCCCGTTAATTATTACTTTGTCTCCTTTTCCGTTGTGTGTCCTAAGTTTACACTTCCATTGCTTTCATTCTTGCAGCTAACTACTTAGAAAATTGGAAATGTATCCAGACGTTGAAAGGTGATGGACAATACATGAAACCATTTGGAACCGCAAGTAATCAGATGCTTGCCAGAGAACAAGAGGAAACTTCACGACCACCGGCCAGAGGATGGTTGTTATAGTGATAGATATGACATCATCATTCCATTTCTATAATTAACCTCCCTATATACGTTTTGCTCTGAAGTATAATCATAAGACCTTAACTCAATATTATCAAATGCAGAGATTTCATCACCTAAAAGAGCAAATTTTTGTTTTTGGTTTTTTGTTGCTCAGTGTAATGATTCAAGGTTTGCTGGATGGTATGCTGTGTACCTTAACCAGTCAATCATGATTACTTTTAGTTGTGAAGATGAAGATGATACGTGGATGCCAACCTATGAGACTTTAAATCCCTGAGATTCTAGTCGTAGCCACCTCTTATGCCAGCCACTCCCTGCGCACGACGGTTGTCGGCCGACTCGATTCCACGATGCGTGCGCAACTTTAATTTTTATTTGATCGTTCAGACTGCCACCGACAATCAGCAGATAGTGTCACTTCGTCTAACTCTCACACAGAACGGAGTCGTACAATCGTTAGCAGTGAATGCCCAGCATTGGCAGAGAGAAGTCGTTTTTATAAATCTTTAGTGTGATATCGAAAAAACAGAACATCTGGGCTTACACCACAGGTGGGCAAGCTGTGGCCCGCAGCAATTTTACTTTGGCCCTCAAAAATAAATTAAAACTGTGGTAGCGGCAATCTAAAATCTTTGGCTAGAAAATACCTTGTTGTTAAGGCCCATTGCTGAAAATCTAATACTAAAACTGCGCATAAAGCAGTATACTGTAAAAAGTGTATGAAGGTTTTCAAATGCACATTGGAAACATCACATTCTTATCATTAAGTTTTTTATGCCCCCCCCCCCCACCATTGCTTACACAAAAATGTTTACTGTTCTTTTTCTTTGTATATCTAGAAATAGGTGGCCTGATGTTAGTATCATTCATGATGAAAAGCAGCCAGAATGCATTTTGTAATGTATTTTTTATTTTATAAAATACTCCCACCCAGGGCTGACACATAGCATGAAACAGTTCACAGTGCGTCAACAGTAATAAGTGAAAGTCTTGGAATTCATGAGATTTTATTTATCTGTAGTGAAACTGGTTCATAGAAATTAGCTTTGAGTCTTGCAGAGAATAAATATTTTGCGAGTCTCACTAACTACCGTACGTAATGATGGCCATCATAATGCAGATGTTGCTGTTGATGGTAATGGTGTTTCCATCTACCATTATAACTTTAGCATCATTTGTCTTTACAGGTCTCTGTATCCCCATTTCTAACGTCACTCCTTTTTTTTTTTGCTTTTTTTACACATTTTGGCATGTTAAAATTAAAGGATCATATTTTTGTTGTTTTGTAATACCGATTATTAAACATGTTTAAAATGTCATGGTAGGAAATTATTTTGTGTTGTGATCAAAAGTTTAAACTTTCATTAATTTAAAAAAAATTATTTTTGTAGCACTTGATACAATGCCAGTGCTGTTATTGTGTTTATTTTTATTTTTTTGTACGGTCTGTCACAATTACATAACCTGTAAATATTGCTGTAGATTTGCTTTTTAAAAGTATTAAATATTTAACAATTATGGATCAGTGCCCCTATGAGTTAAGACATGCTTTTTTATCCAATTGTATTGATGTAAGCATCCTTATAAAGTTGCTGTTCAAGTCTACATGACACTATTAACAAATATGTGATGATATGTTCATGGGCATTTTGTAACTACGGGCGTGTTTCTGCTGAATAACGCCAAAAACGTGTTTTTTTTATAAACGGTTAAATTCCTTCTGAACGTGTTTCTAGTGAAAAAGTGCAACTAATAAAAACAAGGTGATGCAAGCATTGGCAGGTGGGCGGAGCTTAAATGACGGTCACCAACGGAAGTTAAAGCTGACCTTCTTACGAGGTACAGCACATGTTGCGAAAGAAGTAAACAAAACACTACGAATGTATTAAAAAAAGTATGTTATGAACTTCAAGCATGTCATCCTATTGCTTTAATTTTTTTCTTCGCCCCGAATTTCCCACAGACGGGCAATCAAACCAATGAAGAGGTCAATTTGGGTCACCGCCGGGTCATGAAAAACACGGTATTGCATTGCAGCTGAAAAGTGAGCAACAAAACACGTTTTCTGAACGTGAACCCTATAACAAATGTGTGGAAAAACACACGTTTTTAGAACGCATTCCTAACCATGTTTTTGTTTTGTGGCCCGTTCCTACTGGAAGAAACAGGCCCTACAAGTGTTCAAAGATGTACTGTACTGACACCTGAATGAAATATTAATTTTTCAGTTGCTGATTTTTATTTACTTTCAATTAAAGTATCTTTTTAACAATTCTGAATAAATATTCCAGAAAAATGTATTATGGAGAGTTTTTTTTTAAACAAATAAAGTAGATTTTACGATAAATTTGACACAAAAAATAGGGTTTTGATCACTGCTGTACCTATGTTGTACACCACATAGATCCTGCAAGTAACAATCTTGAAAATATTATATATCAACCATGTGCGTTAGTAATTTATCATGCCCACCCCATCCCCCCGATATAGAAACAATATGACATATTGCTTATCTTATTTATAATATAGGCCACACACCTGTGTTTGAAACTAAATACTGTATAAGCATTTTCATCATGGTTTTATGTACAGTATTACAAACATATTCTTTCACCATCATTACACATTGAGGCCCTTCTTTTAGGTAAAACGATCTATCTTAAATTTTCTTTCTTGAGTTTGGGACTACTGTATTATGTGTTTAAATAACTTAGAAGCTAACCCTAAAAAATGCGCGCGAAGCATGCAAAAAAAATTTTGTTTTTAATTCTAATTTCGTCAGAATTGATAAAAACTCCCTAAAATGTGCAATTTTTACTCTAACAAGAAATGCCCGCGATATGCGGGAAGTTTGAGATTTTTACGCACCTTCAGGGGGTGGAAAGGCAATCTTCAGGGGGTGAAGAAAGATTTTCCACTGATGGATATTTTCCCCTTGTCCCCCGGTGGTTACGCCACTCCGGAGAATATCTGGCAGCTTAGATCAAAGGAGCTATGGACACTTTTTGAAGTGGAGAAGGGGTTGCAGGGTGTTGTGAGTCCTGGTCATTATAATATCTTCCGTTTTATTCCTCTTCGCTCTTTCTTTTCCTTTCCTTTTTTCCCCCTTCTTTCTCTTTCCCTCCCACTTTTCTCTTATTACTCGGCTCGGTATGACGGCTTGGTCAGCCACTTGGTCAGGGATGTCTGCCCCCCACCCGCCTGTTACGCCACTGAAATCAACAGTAGCTATGGAATTCCCAGAAGGTAGCAATTACTGTATGTCTTCTCTCTTTTTAATTCCATTTCTTCTCTAACCAGTGCACTTTGTTTATGTGCAATAGTTTTACAAATTTATAAACTTCACTTCTAAAGCCTTCATTTTCTCTTTGAATAACACCCCACCCCCTCAAAAGTGACTCGTCAAAACTAATAGAAGCAACATCATTCATTGTTAGCACATTTTATTAGTCCAGTCAATCTATGGTTATGGTTTTTGACCTAGACAAAATTGCAACATAAAATTTTGGGCTGTTACTATCTAAACCCCTTCCCAAACGACATATCAAAAAAGTAGAAAAATGGGCGCATTGGAAATATTAAAACACAATCATCTTGAATAAATAAAAAGGCAGAAGAAATGATTTTGTAGCTATACTACATAAAATCAATAAAACATCAATGACTTGCTAGACTGAAAACGCATTTTTAATCAGATTATAAATAAAATACAAAGATTATTATATTAAAATATAATATAAAATTCACCTGCGGAATGATTAAAATATTCTTCATTTTTTGAATAAATGGCATATTTTCTGTATACCAAGTTATTGTAATATACTGGTTCATCTATATATTTGAATACAAGTCAACGGCAGTGGCGACGCCAGCGGGGGCCCCCATCGGTCAAAGCTCGTTGGGCAGTCGGACTGAAAAAAATTTTAAAAATTGGCCTATTTTTTTCTATCCCAGCCATCTACTAGTCTAGAAGTCCCATTTAAAAAACAAATCTTGTTTTGGGAGGAGGGGATACCCCCTCCCATACCCACCCCCGGCTATAGTTACACCCATAAATACTTAGCCCCCAAGTCGGACATCTTAGCCCACACATAAATTATATCCTAGAGCCGCCACTGGTCAACGGACGATAAAACATATCTCGTAATTTATAATACAATATATTAATTTAAATAATAAGCATCGCTTTGCTCTCTCAACAAATTATTTGTTGTCCACATACATCTTAAAGCAAATGTACAAGCTTTCACTACAAGATTACATTATCCAACACATTATATAAAATTGTATTTGTAAGCATTAATCCAAATATAGTACATATTACATTTCATTATTAAAACAAGTGCAACAATAAGTTCAATTAAGAATAATGTTGTCAAACACCTACTTTTAAAATCAAAATATCCACACCTAATTTCAGAATAAAATTTTTTCAAAATATTGATTTGTATATGCCTAATATAATAAAAATAATAAAGTCAGTAATATTCTAATAGGTAGTTTTCGCCACACGACATTAACCTTAACTTTAACGTAGTACCCAACATACAACGTAGACTCCGCTCCTTTTGTAAACAAATCAAAATATGCATGCGCAAACCTGTAACTAACGTACGTCAAGCACGTAAAATCCTGAAATTAACCAACGCAAGATGAATAAATTATGACGTCATCCGTTAAAGTTAACGTTGTGCTGTGAAAACTACCTACTGATACCAAAACTCTGCATTTATAATCAAAATATTTTTCATGTTTTAACCGTTCATTCAAACATGGTTGTACCTCAACAATTCAGGATTCCTCTATATTGCTTAAAACCTTTCTTATTGATAGCTTATAACTTACAAGATAACACTAACAGATGCATTACATTCCCTATATTAATTGGACTTTTTCTACTTGCTACACGTGCTACTAACATTGCAAGTAAAGCTGCAAACCTATAACAGTGGCAGATCTAGCAGAGGAGCTTTGCTAATGCATTGAGTGGAGTCAAAAGTAATGTACTGTATATTAAAGTATATATACTCGTCGCAATGACCTATTTTTGGTTCCCTTCAACAGAGTCATTTGCACAAAAAATGGTTTTATTCATCGTCTTGCCCTCTCATTTAATAAACTTTCTCATAATTTTACGTTGATCGATATTTTTCACCAGAGCCTTAGTTCATTCAAAAACAGCTTATCGCAATCTTTACTTCATAATACCTAAGTGAATTTTTTTTCTGGGTGGGTTAATTCCTAAATTTTTGTGTGTGTGTTTCTGTTTGACCTTTGTTCTGTCCGTTTTTTGATGTGTTTTCTTCTTTCGTGTTTTGTCAGCTTTGTTTTCGAATATTTTGTCTTGTCTATGTGCTGGTGTTGGATCTGTGTTTTGTCTCCTTTTGTATGTCTGCTTATTTATTTTTTTATTTTTATTTATTTATTTTTTTTAATTTTTAATTTTTTATTCTTTTATTTTTTTTTTGTTTCCGCAACTCTTAGCTTAAGATGTCATTCATAATATTTTTATAAAAAATTTTACCTATTCCGATTTTCTAATGTAATTTTATCAATTATTTACTTGTTTTGCATTTGTTTGTTTATTTTCTTATCTGGATTTTTTATCTGTATTTTTTTGAACTTGCAATTTTTAGCTTAAGATGTAATTTTTCGCAATATTTTTGTAAATTTATCTATTCCAGTTCATACTGTAATATTATTAAATTTGTAATTTAGATGTAATTTCTCGCAATATATTTGTAAATTTCTCTTTTCCATTTTATACTGTAATGTTATTTATCTTTCACTTGTTTGTATTATAAGACATCCTGTAATTGGCTTCCGCTGTTGGATGATTTTTGAAATAAAATAAAAATAAAATAATCGTCTAACATGTAATGAAGTTAGCATAGAAGATACTTTTTTAAAACAATGTATACATTTTGAATGATTCATACATTCATGAGACTAAAGCTGATTTGATTTACATTTCAATTCAGACTGAAAATAAGAATAGTTTTGAGAGGCCTTCAAGGGGCCAAGCTTGCAGGACTCGCCACATCCAGTGCTGACTAAGGCAATCGCCGTAGATTTAGCGGTACACATTCAGCTTAAATTCTGTCACCAAGTAACTTTCTCAATTTAAAGTTTTCAACACCCTGTCAACAAAATCACTGGCTCTGCCATCGGCGACTTCTATTGCTTTTAAGCTATCAGGTATTATCGCATCTTCATCAAGTTTGGCTGGAATTAACATTCCTTCACTAAGGTTGTTGTTTTCCAACATTTTCTGGACAACAGTTTCAGCAACCAAAGTCGGACTGCCAGTCAATGGCTTTGATATATAGCCCACAATTACTTTTTGGCTTCTTAACGCTGGCTTTACTAAATAGTCTAATACAGGTTTGCCAGGCATTTTTGTGTCCTTTCTAGTCAAACATTTTACTCCTGGTTTTGCATGTTGTAGATCTTGTGACAATTTTTCATCCCATTCAGAATCATCACTGATAATGTAAATATCTGCTGGATTGAAAAAAAAATGCAAATGTTCTTAATTTTAGGCTTGGAGATAAGCCAGGCTTGAGTTAAGCCCGGCTTAACGCTTAACTTTCACGGGCGTTCAGACTAGCAGGTTTAGCCAGGCGAGAATTTGCATAATAATAAACTGTAACCAGGAAACATGTTTCAAAACATTGCTCGCGAAACGTACGTACACTCGCTCACAGCGTATGTAATTGAATGCTGATTGGTCATTTTGTTACCCGGAAGTCAATGCAAGACCCCCTGCAACGATTTAAGTCCGTCTTACAAAAGTGGCAAGCCAGGCCTTGTTACTATAGGAACACAGCCCGGCTTCAGATAAGCCACCTAATTCAGACTGGCAGGTGGATAAACCCGGTGAGTTGAGTCGGGTTTATCCACCTAGTCTGAACTAGGCCACAAACTTTTAAATACCTCGCTTGTAATAGTAAGGTATTAATAGGTCCACTGATTAACTTCAGATAAGAAAGTATAATACATACTCCAGGAAATTCATGCCATCGTGTTGGGATTCAATATTTTGACATTAATTATGTCATCATCAGTAATGAAAACATTCTCCATACAGTATTTACAAGCTTACTGTATATGCACAAATACCAAAAGTGTCAAACCAATCATGTATGTATTATACTTTCTCTATAATAAGGTATTATTTGCAAGATCAGATTTACTGTAGTAAAAGAAAACAAATTGATTATAATATTGATTTTGTATCTTCATCATTATCATCACCACCACCATCATCATTTCCACAGTCACCACCAAGGATACTTGAAGAAGAGTGTAACATACCTATTTCTCCATCAACAGCATTTTCAAGTTTTCCTGATTCTTCAAATAAAATAAAACAAAAATAAGTTATTTTCTAAACACTAACATTAGTATAAAGATAATAGCTTTACAGATTCCTAATAAAAATTAGCATCACGAGAATACAGTAATAATAAAGACTAAACTTGTATCAATCTCACCATTACTATTATCTTGTTTTCTGGATTCTTCCGTTTTTGTAACACAAACAGGAAAACACTAGCCAAAACCATTTGATATTTGAAAGATAGGATGTAGGTAAATAAAGGTAGGAGAATAACCCATTTCACAACGTCATTATGCTGAATTAAATTGATCAAAACAACGTTTCTCATTTTTATTTTAAAACATAAGGAGTTTTAAGTCCAATCTATCGTTAATAATGTCAGCAAATAGTTGGCATAGAATTACAAAGGAAAAAACATCATATAGTCAAAAGGTACCCAAGGTAACTTACAGGTAAGGACTTTCAATACTGTATGTAAATTGCCAAGAGCCCTTCACTTAGTTTTCCGAAAAACTATGCATGATGTAACATAAGGTGGATATTTACATGTAAAAAATAGTACATTTTAACATTTGGGAGGGGGTGGAGAGTGCACCCCTGTAAACTTGTATATGTTCTATTTTTCATTAAATTTGGAATAACCAGCTTCAAAGCAAATATTTATATTTACTGTGATCATTCCTTGCCATCTTGGATTATGATATCTACCAGTATTTTGTTTTACTGGTAAAATAAAGAATAAATGTATAAATAAAATGAAAATTAGCATGTAACTAACCTATGGCATCTCCAGCACTATCATTCTCACGTTTTATTCGTTTAGCACTTTCAGTCTCTATATAAAATACATAAAACAGAAATGAATATCAATATTAAAAAACAATTATTCGGGTAGAAAATCCTTTGTTTTTATGGCCCAATGCCAATCATTTGTATAAAGTAATATTAATATTGAGCATAAAGTGGCAGTGGAGTCTTGAAATGCCACTGTAAAGAGGTATAAAAGTGACGCATGATTGGAGCACATTGCAACTAAAATTTTCATCATAAGACGTCTATGTACAGCCTTCAGTGTGAAATTAAAGATTCACTTTGGCCGGGCTCCAACCAATTTTTATGCCAACCCCTGATCTACACTATATGATCTGTTAACAGTCTATGGTGCTTATTACAATATATTTAAAAAATAATCCAGCTGTAATTTATACAGAACCAGGTTCTTTAATGATATATTTAAAAAGTCTTGTCAAATATTCTCTACATTCCTGGACCCGTTTGGCAACAAACCTTCAGGTTTAAAGGGGTTATCTAATGCTTCCTCTGACCTTATACTGTATTCATTTTTTATTTTCTTGCTTCTTATGTGGTTCCTTTTCAGTTTGGTTATTGTTTCTTTCTACTTTTTGGTCTTCAAAATTGTACCTTTCTATACTTTTTGTTTTTGTTTGTGAACTGTCTGATTTCTTTTTAAACTTTTTGATGTTGATCTTTGGCTATTGAATGGTTTTATATTTGTAAATTTTTCCTGTCATTTTTTATATTCATTCGATGTTCCTTTTGTTGTTTAATGATTTTCTTTGTATTGAGCATGAAATAAAAACTAAGAAACATGTAAATTAATACATAATATTATATTGGCACAGGGAAGAGGCAGAAACTGAGAAGAAATATTAAGGGGGCGAGTTCAGAAAAAAAAGCAACCTGCACTTCTCGGTCATGGACATCTACAGCTACATGCAAATTTTCCTGGACAAAAAATGTTCTATACCTTTTTGATGTTTGCAAAATGCTGGCATCTTCATCTGCCTATTTGTCTTTTTGGATTTTCTTTTCCTCATATCTTAAAAAAAAAAAGGTCACTCAAATAAGTTCAACAGTATCAGTATAAAAAATAGTCTTATATTTTCATACAATTAGGAGAGGGTATCTGCATGTGTTTAAATCTCACTTAGCATTTTACTGTATTACGTATTCGCCTATAGACGTGCTTGCATGCGGCAGTCCACAGAACCCTGACGGACTGATATGGGACTTGACCCATAAAGGTCAGACGAGGCCCTGATTGCCGGTCGTTATAGTAATTGATGAATTTATACATTTTTGTTTTTTTTTTCATCCAAACTAGTATCAACTAAAAGCATATAAGCTAGTCTTAAGAATTTAAATGGCAGTATATCTTAAACAGGCAACTTACTTTGTGTTCCATTTTCATTAGGATCAATATTTTCAGATTCCGCTATTTTAATAAAATAGAAAAAAAAAATTAATTACTTACTAAGAATAAGATGTCAACTGACAAAAATAAAATTGAAATCTGTCTGCATGGTTTATCATCCATTGTCAAACCAAGCTTTGAGATGTTAAAATTCACCAGTAACATTTTAGTTTTTGCTTCCTTTATTTTTTAAACATAAAATGTTCATAAACAAATTAATATACATCAGATTAGCAGAATTATATTGTGTTAGTTTGCTTACACTCCAATTCAAAGAAATCATTGCCCTTTATTCAAAGATCCAGTACTTGCTCAAGTCCACCCCATTTTTTAATGAACATTCTTCATTAACCTATATAGGCATCTATAAATCATTGTATGCATGGTGTCTTCAAATGTCTCTGTCTCTTTTCGGAGTTACTGTCTTTTTTTCAAAACAAAATTTAATAACAAGAAAGATCGACGTTTTGGGTCCATCATGGAACCATTCTCAAACAAAAATACCAAGCAGTGACAGGAAGTAATTAATTTACATATCAATAGGGCCTACTGTGTGGAGCCATAGTGGAGCTAAGCAAAATTTTGTTTTATTTAAGACTGATTAGTGGATCCTCTGGTGTCTTCAAATATTAACAATTATTTCAAATAATTTAGAAATTTAATACTAAGCAATCATCTCCTACAGAAAAAAAATCACTCTGAGACAACTTTGTTTAGCGGTTTTTAGATTTGATTACCTTTATGGCTTTCAGGCAATGCTGTAGCCAGCTTTTAAAACAGCCACCTAAGATGATTTTAAGCCAAGATTTGTTAGGATGATTTGATAAATCAGCTTAAGATTTTTGCTTAGGGACATCTTAACTTTTTTGACTTAAGACATTTTCTAAGCTGAGATTAATAAATCCCTGGCCTGATACTCATCCCTCCTATTTTTGCAACAAGGTCCCCAACAAGAGCAAAGTTGGCGTAATCCAGTGTCGATTAAAATGTCTCCAAAATGGTCCAGGGCAAAAAAATATGGGGTTTCAGAGTCTTATTTAATCGATTTTATATGTGGGGGGGGGGGGGGGATGGAAATAAAATTTTCTACGGAAATGTCCACCTTGCCCCCACAGCACTGCCTCTGCTGGTTTCTAGAAACACTAAGTATAGGTTTAGCAGAGGAGAAAGCAATGACTGAAAACAAAACATGATTCAGAGTCTGTGTTAATTTGTAGTCCTACAGTGTGAAAATTATGTTCAGTATTCTTCTTGGAAGTTTTTTTTTTAAATGAATGTATAATTAATATATGAATATACTGTAGACCTACCTTTAAGATACCCGCTTGGCATTACATATGCATTCATCTTCGTCTGCTTTGTCCTCGACATTTTATTTTAAAATGTTTATCCTCAGATCTCAAAAAAAAAAAAAAATTATTTTATAGAGTACAGTTCAACATAAGGCTACTGAAGTTAGGAATTCTAGGCAATAGATGTAGATCAAAATATTTTTTGCAGGCCCTAGGCCTACTCTACATTGAGTGATGAATATTTATATTGAAAAGTCATAAGAGAAACAGCTAAATCCTTGAGTCACTCTGAATTCTAGGCCTACATTGGCTCTATTTTGAATTCCTGGATACGTCACTGATTATATTCTTTTAATTTGCGATTTCGCATCAATTATTTTTCTACCGAGTTCAACAGAATTCTTAAGCAAGCTAGCAAAATGCATTTCAGTAACTAATTCCGTAAGTAAATACAAAATTCCTGTAGCACCTGATAATTATTTGCCTAGAGTGCAAATGGTTTGCTTAAAATTACAGGTACAGGACATCAGGAGAGGATGAAAGATTTACATTTACAGGCCACTTTTTCTAAAGTTTTCACAATATCATCAGTAATCTGACAGAATTCAATCCAACTCAGATACAAGTAAACTCGGCCACAAAAAGTTTGGCTACAGTCAACTCGGCTGCAGTCAACTCGGACACAAGTCATCTCGACCACAAATCAACTCGGCCACAAGTAAACTCAGTCACAAGTCAACTGCAGCCTATTTACTGATACTAAACTTTGAAGGAGTAATTCATGAAGTATAAAATACTAATTCTTTAAGTATTACTATAACTTACTTTTAATTGTTATTATTTATTGCTGTTAATATTGTTGTCATTGTTGTTATTATTATTGTTGTTTTTATTACCGTTAGTTGTAATATTCATTATTAGTCTTAATTAGCATTAACATTATGTATTGTTTAAATTTTTGCAGATAATATTATTGTTACTATATAAATAATAAATAATTCTAATTTTTAAATTAATATTATTATTCATATTATTATTATTATGTAGGCCTATTAGTCTTAGTATTATTAGTGGTTCTAAAATAGTATCGAAATGTATGCCATCATGCATTCATTAGATTTTAGTTGGATTCAAAATAAATTTTTAACATTTAAAAAATCATAATTTGGTTTTTCTATTTCAATTTTTTTATGATTAGGTCTACAGTATGTACTCATGTTTTATGTCAGTGTTTTAACGTGAAAAACATTAATATATGTGTTTTTCTTAATTATTAAGACTGCTTAAATTGTTAATGTTACATTATTGTCAGAATTTATTCCATTCTGTAAGTGGCGGGTTTTCTCTGTTGAATAAAAGTACAGTGTGAAGAAGTACTCGGATCTCACGACGATGATCACAATTTTACTTTGTACTTCATTACAATCATATTGAAGAAAAAGGATGCAAAAACTGAGTAATATAATACAGTATTTACATTTCATTTTAATTATTTTATTCTATATATAACATTATAATAACTTGTGGCCATGTTGACTTGTGGCCAAGTTGACTGTAGTCGAACTTTTTGTGGCCGAGTTGACTTGTGGCCGAGTTGACCTGCTTCCATCTAAAAAGCAAGTATATTAGTTGTGTAGGTTATGTATTAACCAGGGAGTTGTTAGGCCTAGGCTAGGCCAGGCCCTGGTAGGCCCGTGATAAAATAAAAAAAACACAAAAAAAACGTAGTAATATTATATTTCCGTAAGTCCGTAATTGTCTAAAAGTTCCGTATTTGAGAAGTCTGGATTCATCCATTGTTTCCCAACACACAGCATTATTATGTTAATGAGCAGATCCTGCCCCAGCCTAAAGAGGGGCCTAGGCCCTAACTAACTAAGCCTAAGCTATAAGCCTAGGCCTATACTGATACTATTATGGTATTTATTATGCAAATTACAAATAATACCGACAATTAAAAATATTTAGGCCTACCTTGGCTAGGCCTAGATATTTTCTGAATTCTTACAACCTACAACAACAGTCCTTAAATTTTCCCGGGACAGCCTTTAAGCCACACCCCCCACGCGAGCGTGAGCGACGTCAATCAATCGATTGGACATTGTGAGGGCGCATGTCATACATCCGTTGTGTTTGAAAGAAAAAGTCTGGGTTGATCGGCATCCCGAGATCACTCGAAAAGGGGTACGTGCACACGCAGCGCTATGCAGAGGCAATTGCGCGAAACCTTTGAAGTCTGATGTGTTCCCCGCCACCTTATATTAGGCATTTTTCGTTTTGACTACGCGGCCAGTCTACTACGAACTAATGGACCGTGACGGCAACGCCAAGACTCTGTTCGCGTACTACACCAAGAGCTGTTTCGTTTTTTTAAGGCGACTACGACGTGTCTCTTATACACATCTAGATGTGTAAAAGAGACAAAAGTCAATGTTGCGTGCTAC